CTTGTTGTTATTGGTTTGGTACAACATGCCAGGTAGGTAGGTTTTATTTTAGGTTTGTTAACGGAAATGTAAATGCATCAATATATTTAGAACGAACCATTTACCGAGAAAACAATCAGCTGTCAACACTAGGTTTTTCTAAACTGATGAAGAAGGTATGCTGGGAATTTAGAATACCTGACAGGCCCTGGTAAGAATGACAACGTTTGCCTAGTTTTTACTCCTTATGTCATAGTACATGTTAGACACAAGCGATGAAATCCCACGCGGCAAATACATTTAATTTCTTACAGGCAAGTTCGTGGCTATCAGTGGTGATATCGGAAACATTTGTTTAGAGTACATGGAAGGAAAAAACAGGGTAACGGAGGCCTGGGATTGTTTTGTTAATGATTTCTATGTAATAACATGCCAGTGAGTTAGAAAGAAGCAGCGAAAGTTATCAAGAAAAAACTGATCTCACAGGATGCCATTTTGTTAATCAGAATCAAACACAAAAAATGTTCAAGTTATCTCCAATGTTAAACCCTGAAAACTTAAAACAGAATGAAACAACCATGAGCGAAGCAAACAAGGCAATACGCCAATCCAAATACCAGATGTGCGAGGAACGTTATCAAAACCATAATAGAATCGCAAATTAAGATAGAGAACTAAGCAAAACTGTCATGGAAACTGCAGATGTAATAAATCAACATTTTGTCAGAGTTTTATATCAGACAACAAACGAAGAAAATTACCTGAATTTCAATTTCATGCTTTTGAAAAAGCACTTACGAACTTTCGAAGGCCTGATGGAAAAATCTATCAAAAAAGTAAACCTCAACAAGACAAAAAGTCCGGATTGGCTTCATCAAAAACTGTTTGTAGCCAAAAAAAAAAAAAAAAAAAAGACGCCAAATTGTAAATGATGATACTGGTATAGACGTTGAATCATATCCTGTTTCATTTAATCCAAGAAATATCCAAAAATATACTTATTTGAAGCAGGAGAATATAGTATCTGCCTCCCGAAGATGCTCCTATACAGAAGTTTGTGTTTAGAAGACTTGGAGCGTTTGCAGGAGGCGATATTCTGGCTTTGGTTTAGGATTATAGCTAAAAGTAAAGACACTGCATGACCTTGAATAAGCCGGGATGTGGTTATATTGACTCTGATCAAATAACCATATTTCAATATACTCATTGTACTATATACAGACCTGAAGATTACATGTATCCCATTTTGCAAAACTTACAATTTTCAAACATTTCATCTTGAAAGAGATCTGAATGATGATATCCTTACTTAAACTCAAAGATACGCGTTGCTCAATAAAAACGCGAACTTTGCTTTTGTGAAATAATTAATCATTGTAACTAATGTAATTAATCATTGGCACTATTTTTGGAATAACTCAGTTAAGTATATTTTTCGCCATTTTTTGACATACACATATATCACAGTGAGTATGATTGTTGTATAGTTACTTTTGACCTTATCTTTGCTATTACACCTATTTACAAACGTACCCGAAATTTGTTTGTATAAGCACAAATATTTCAATTTGAAGAACTGATTTCTAAATTTGAGGTGGAAAATATATAAGTGTAATGCAGGTCTGTCGAAAAATCTCGATTTTCTTGGACTTCTCTTCCTAAAAAAGAGACTATCAAACCTAAAAATAAGCCCAGGATGTCGTCAGAATAGAGAAAGTATATACGGGTTCTAGTTCGTCATGCAGTTTGGGTAAAAATGCTCAATGATCTGTACTCCAATGTAAGGTTAGGTTTAGTGTGACAAAGTGAACAACATTGAAAAACATGCTCGTATGTTTATTTTTTTGAGATTTTTTAACCTGTGTGAGAATGCTTTTCACATTTTTTTCCTGGAGTGTCAAAATTATCATTTACAGAGGTGCTTACTTTCTCTTAATTTCACATTACACATTTTCGTGTCAACTTTCCATGGTGTCAGCGCCGTAGTGAATAGAGACATTTCGGAAATCGTAAAAAAAAATTGTCACAACATTTGAAAATATTTCTGTTACCTTCACTCGATTCCGAGTAATGACTAGTCTCGTTCAACCAGACGCTTGATCACTTGTAATTCAAGAGACTCTCTGTTCGGCGTAACTTGCGCAGACAACAAGAGTCTGGTTGAACGAGACTAAGCTATGACGTAATTGATGATGCGATTGATATATGTAAGCAAAAAGAAACCACCTACACAGATATTGCCACTACCACCTCTATATCGAAAAATACCCTTGTATTATAATCCTAAGGAAATCATATAGCAAAGTATCGCTGTACTTGAAAATGTGTCCAAGGGAAGTAAATGTAGTAGTGGCCACCATATTATATGTTTGTCTGGACGGTAAACCGTATGTCTTGTGTTATGTAACTTACGTCTGTTATTTAATAGTTGTATTACGATTCACCTAAGCGTCTACTTATATCAGCTCCATGTGTACATGCAGCTTCTTTGCCATCTTCATTTGCATACATATGTTGAGAGAATTTCCTAATCTACTTGAAATATTTGCCACAGCTATGCCTGATCTTGAGAACGATGTTTGGATCAGGTTAACATGTATCGACATATCCGAATCGTATCTACAGCTATCGACCTGTTCGAGTTATCCAGGGTATCGTGTCGTACAAGTTCATTTATCTACATGATCAGACTTACTGAATTCAGTTTTGATGTTTATTTATGAGAAATACCTGTATGTGTAACGTATTGTGTGTATGAAGACTTGCATGTGACTTGTCTAAGCTATATGGAATCATAAAGAAAGCGTATAACATGCGAGAGAGTATAATGTAAACTGCCTATTCACACGTCTACAGACACGGAACAAGAGCTTTTCTGTACATGATCCTTCAAATACTAGCTTATGTCACGTGTCCAGCGTTTGTTTTATCTTTTCTAAAAATAATTCAAACCATCAGCTTAAATATAACGTTAAAGTATAGCTCAGCTGGACATCATACCAAACGAGGTTGGGAGTAGGACACGAACTGGGGTCAAAACACACGAGGTTGGGAGTAGGACACGAACTGGGGTCGAAACACATGATCAGCACATTAACACTTACATGGCGTTAAACACACACAATATTAGGGAGTTCTCGTATTCAACACATTGACACAGGACTTTATAATCGTCACATTATCAAGGAATAATGAATGTTCTATTTTTTCATTATTATTTAAGAAATAATAAAGATTTCGTTCCTTTTTGAGGTGCAGGTTTTTTCGGTAAATACTGTATTTAATTCCAAAATGAATTCTGTTATTCCTTAAATTCGAATTTAAACGGACGGTCAAAATTTTTGTGAGTGCACAGTTAATGAATATTTATGCATTTTTTTTTATAAAAAACAAAACATATGTTTGCACAAAACACAATATTGCGCTGTAGTTTCGTTGTCGATCAACTTCAGCCAAAAATAAACACCACGTAACACATTGTGGTAAACGACGTCATCGCTTTGTGTTGTCCTTTTTTAGGTAAGCTTGAAATAGTCTGTTATTGACGGAATGGCCAAAAATAAATTATAATTCTTTCTTCCATTAGGCTTAATATTTGTAAATGTGCAGTAAGGGACTTAATAAAAAAATCGACTCTCGAAAATGAAGCCCTTTTTACAGGTTCTCTGTAGTTTGTTTAGAGTATAGAGTACGAGCGATAGGAAGTGGCATGGCGATTATGATATTATAAGCTTCTTCAATTTTTCTCTCAACGAATCATTACGTCTCTCACAGCTCCATTATGGAAAGATCGAAAAACGTGGAAAGGTACCGTAAAAATCTGCGAGAGCGCCTCGGTCCCTATACAATGCCTGCTGTGAAGCTTATATAAACATCCGGGCACTATCTTATTATTCACTGATGGATATGAATACTATTGGACACCCGCACGTGTGACGTCATCATTTCCTGTACCTGGCATCACGTGATCGTCAAAAAGTTATTACGACTTTCCAGTATTTTCATTTCTTACAAGTGACTCTAATAGACTTTCGTACATTAGAGAGTGTCATTACCGAATTTCAAAAGTGTTTATACAACTGTGTTTACACTTGGCAACAGGAACAGGCGTTGTCCGGAACATCAGTTGTACACAACAAAACCAAATAAAATTGTAATCCGGAAATTAGTCAAATCTACAGAGGAGCTTGAAAGTTCCGGAACGTATATATGTATGTACAACTTGGACAACGTAGCCTCAGAGCTAGGGATTTTTTGTACATTGGATTTCCTGTAATTCGGAATTAGCTTGTGTGGACAGTGGAACTCTTTAGATCGGGGTATGGTTTATATCGGTACATAAATAGTTTGAAAGTCCGCAGTTTAGTTTGTGTGTACAGTTGGAAGTTATAGTCCTAAATATGGTATCTGTTTACAGTGGAATACCGGAAGTCCCAGAATGTGGCGTAATTTTAGAGTGGAGTTCCGGAATATGGTTTGCATATTCAATGGAAACCCGGATTGTTTATTTGATAATTAATTAATAATCAGTTAATCCCTATGGAAATAGCATTGAAAACTATATGAATTACCGAAAAAGAACAATTACAGAACAGCAAAGATAAGCAGTTTTAAGCACCGTTATTGTCGTCTGCTAAGAGCTGCTACATTTCTTAGAGAGATCCGGAATTAGAGAAATATTACCGAAACTCTTGAGTGTTCGAGGAATCACCAGGTTTAAAGTCCTGTAATCAATTATAATCTAATCAGAGACGCTTTTATATGATAGATTCATAATGACATGGTTAAGTTAATTTCATTTGAAAGGTGACTGAAAGCCAGATACAGATGGACACCAAACAGATAAACAAGAGAAAGTACACCCCGCTGGTGGGGATGTTTAACAGTAACGCCACAACCTGCAGGGTCATTCAGCCCAGCAATTACGGTACTCTTCCTGCTATAGCGACTGCAAAGCGATGTTGACAGTAATGTATTGTACAAATGAGCCCTCATCGCAACCAATTTACCCCCACACAGCACCTCCGTGCTCGGGAACCACGCGCACTCTCGTGTAGTCTAAACTTATCACGAACTAGCGTGCTCAGCATATATATGACAAACAGAGCTTTGAGAGAAGCTTTGAAGATTTTAATACCATATTGAGCTGTCATGCTTCTCCGGTTTTTTGATGGCATCAAAAACAAAGATGTCCGGATCTCTAAAGATATGTTGCACGTTTCGGGATACACGTTACCAATGTAGACCCTATTGCGTAACATTCTAATATAAAGAAATGGATCCGGACCACATATCCGGGATTGTGCGTTCGATTCACTGTCATGGGACACATAAATTGTGACGATGCGGCCGACTGAAAGGCGTTGACTAGGTGAGTAACAAAATATCTCTTAAGTATTTAGAATTAAATATTTTTCTTGTGAAAGTTAAAAAAACAAATGATATTAGGTTTGTTGTCAACAAACAAATATATTTTTGGTAAGAATAAAAATTTTAAAAAGCGAGAACAGTTGGTAAGTTAAGTGAAACATATTTAGTTTGCAGAAATTGTTATGCTGAAATACTGTAGAGTTGTAATGGGTCCATACAGAATGCGTCTGCAATGATCAACAGAGTATATAATGTATCACGGCACATCCTTACATTAATATATTGATAATAAAATAATAAAATCGATGCAAATATTTTCATTATGTTCAGTCATTTGCATTCTTGCACAAATTACGGAATATTATGTAAGCGGGAATATGTAGCATATGTTACAGAAATGTCTTTGTCAGCACATGTCAATTTCTTCGTGAATGTTGATCCCCAGCTGTGATCCATTCTACATCTGTTGATTATCGGAATAGTCCTCAGACCCACTAAATGTAAGGCCTCGGTTATGTAATGTTGTGTGTCTGACTGTCAGTATCCGCTGACCATCAGGGTAGTCCTCAGACCTACTAAATGTAAGGCCGTGGTTATGTAATGATGTGTGTCTGACTGTCAGTATCCGCTGACCATCAGGGTAGTCCTCAGACCTACTAAATGTAAGGCCGTGGTTATGTAATGATGTGTGTCTGACTGTCTGTATCCGCTGATTATCAGGGTAGTCCTCAGACCTACTAAATGTAAGGCCATGGTTAAGTAATGTTGTGTGTCTGTGCATCTCTAAGTAAATCAGGTTATTAGCAGAAAGATAAACACTCGCACCCACAATCATTGTCAGAGTGGTAAACACATCATCGTGGTATGTCAGTCATTACGTATATATACATTTGGTATGGGGATATGTGTACATTTCGTACAAGTATTCAGTCACACAATTAGACGTACAGCTGTTTACAACAATGACAATTTGTACATAGCATATTTCCATACAGCTAGGTCTTTCATGCCGAAATTTCGCTGAAACTAAATGAGTACCATTTTGCCTCGATAATTAAGAAAAAATGTCTAAATTGACATTTGAGAGACGATTACCTCGGAACTGCTGAAGAATAGCGCAATCATTAATGGAGATACATGTAAGTTACGAGTCCAACTTGGACCTTGATGTCATGTCATTGCATAACAATTAGTAGAAATATGAAGTAAGGTCGCACCTATATTTAAAATTTTAGTTTTCCGATGCATAAAGCCAACAAAGTAAAAATTTAACTGCGTCATATGTCCATTTCGTCAAGTAAGGATTCGTCCGTGACACTATAGATCGAAAGATTGAAAATCAAACATGCGTAGCTCCGTAAAGGAGTTGCTGATTGTCGATTTCGACCCCACCTCAATGTGGACAGAAATCAATGTCTTGATTACAATGGTGAATGAAGGTACAGTAAAACTTCGATATATATTGTCTCCGTTTTCCGGCAATGTGTTTCATGTTACTCTTTTCCTGCTTTCTTAACCCTCCGTTTTGCCGTATTCCTCGATATGTCACCAAAACCATTAATAACGCTAAATTTACGTGGAACAAATGGTTGCAGTACAACGCGTGGTTATTGCAACTGTGCATATATTATATTCCAGGGTCTCCAGGGTCACCATTGTAACAACAAACACCAGTAATGGATACCAAATTTAACAGAAGAAAATACAGTTGTGTAACAAAGGATAAGGAGTTGTGGTAAACGTTTGATCAGTGGTCAAATACACAGGGACCTGAGAATTGTTACAGCTATATTTGGACCTTAACCAAGGTGTTCAGAGTAGTTTTACTTCTTTAGGAGTTTAGATCGACTTTCGGTAAAAATGACACCCCCAATGAAAATACGAGTGTCATTTTTACCGAAAGTCGAGCTAAACCCCTAAAACACGTAGAATTACTCTGAAAACATGTTAAGTTAATGTCCAAATAAAGCTGAAACAAATAACAAGGTCCTTGTGGTCAAATGCTTATAACAACCACGGTAGCGTCAAATATACAATGTACCTCTCGAGCACAACAGCTAGATTTTTATGGATAACTCAAGATAATTATTAGAGTTTGAAAAAGGACTTCTTACCCGATAAAAATAACCAAGGTTCATGGTGCATTTGCTTCTAAGGGAAATGTCGCCCACAGAAACGTTTGTTCGCGTTTTGTCCCTTCAAAACAATAGTTTTAGTTATAAGCTTTGGGTATAAACGGACGGCATACCACTGGGGGGAAGATAACTTGTGATAGGAAATAGAGCTTGTGTGACCTTCATGTGGTAGCCTATTATTGTGCTCTACATAGTTCATACAATACCTACTACTTACGTTCATACGTGTACCTAATTGGCACGAAGGGCGTTCAAACTGTTGGCAAAGTTACGTGTATGTCAGTACATGTTGTTCGTCTGTCAAATCAAGACAGTCCCCACAGATAATATGTTAATGGTATGGTAAAGCCACGCGCACTCGTACTAATTAACGGGAAAAGACTTCAGAAACGAAATATGTCTATTATCCATCATTGTATTGGCACTTGAAGAAAGATGCATGTACATTTAAAAAAAGTAATATTTTCTGAGATGCACTTCAGGATTTAACCTTGTAATCAAAGGCAAAGTCAAACTCTTATTTTATGCGTGGAAAGACTATTGGATATCTGAAAATTGTACTCCTTCATGAACGATTAAGGTTACACATTTCCTGAAGTTTGATACCGGGGATTGTATCGTAAAATTTCCAATTATTTTGCGATATATACTTTCTTGCAATGTATATCTCACTTACTTGAAAAGAAATTAAACATTGATCGTAATCTAATAAATAATACAGCACTCTTCCCCGTACCACACTTGACTAAAATTGATAAGAAGGAACTGGTAACCTTTCATCGGAAAACTCAAAACATTTTCATATTGCGACTTTTTTTAATTTGAAATGTTGTCACATTGCAAATCCATTCATTATCGCGAGCCTTTTCTTGCTCCACTTTTTTCATATAAACCAACGCGAAAACATATTTGTAATTGTAAATAGTCTTTGTAGTGATACAGGACGGACCTGTTGATACAATTTTGCGACTATAATTTCTCGTATACATTTTGATACAGTGAAACGTGTCCATAATTGAGAATCTTTTCAGTTTCAGGACGCGTTCTAAACAGGATGAAAGTATTTGTAATTAGGACTTTATATGGTTGTGGCCTGAAATTCATTGTTTATTGCTTCTTACCTTTATCAACAAGCCTAATCAACGGCAAGGGTATTCCAATTTTCATTTTTCTTCTCGGAAACGTTCACTAAACGATTTTATGTTTTTTATCATTTTAAATGTATGTTTTGTAAAGCGGTTATGTTTTAAAGGAGTTTAAGTTTCAATGTTGTGGTGGTCTGAACAAGATCTGAATTCCAGCGAGCTATTTACCAATTTAAAAATCAATATGAAAACAAAACAAAACAAAAATGCCTAGGCGTGTGATCAAAACATCGCGAATTTGGTTCAATAGATGTAATACCGTTGGCCCCCGTGCGATTAGAGCGCTATACAGCAAGACATGGTAAGAAGTTTTACGATGTCGTTTTTGTTGAACATTAAAAAATTGTCAATGACCGGTTGTATAAATGTAGGTTTTAACAAATACTCGTGCGTCATTCTTGTTAACAAAACATGATAAATCGCCGATTACGACTTAAACTGGTTGCATGGATGTACATGTATTCCATGTATTATGGAAAATCATCATTTGGCAGGACGTCTACATTTAGATCGCCTAAAGAATATTAGATTTGATATCATATGCTTAATACATTTTCCAACTTTTTCTTTCTAAATAAACTCTAATCTGGCCACATAAAAACTGAGAGTTATTGTCTTTTTCCACGAGCATGTATAGATACGCGTGAAATAGGCATTAAACAGTTTTATAAAAACATGGAATATTTATCATTATTCAAAAACTGGTCCCACCAATAATCAATTAAGACATATTTAAAATGATAAAACAAACACTTACGCAGAAATACCGATATCTTCAATGTTTTTATTTCTTGACTGATCGATATTGATGTATTCACGCTAAATCTAGCAAGAAAAACCTGCGGCGCTTTCCAAATCTCAATACATTTTACCTCCGACATTAATACAGGGCAGTATCTTGGTACTTAGAAGATTGGTTAAGGGGGCCACATAGCCATTAACCAAAATTGCTTGATACGTTTATCTGCTGGAATGGCTCTTTTCATTACGTCATGGGATAAAATCCGTTTAGTACTAGCTTTTGGCAGTGTGCATCTCCATGGTATCTTCATCAATATTCAGCAAAGAAAAGACAATATCATAGTAGTTATGAAAATAATGTTACAGAATTTATAAAAAAAAAAAAATCGTTTCGTGTGTAAATGCTCTATTTCCTGTATTCACTTTATGGGGGCGTTTTCACCGATTCCTACCCAAACATATTAACTGAAAAAAATTGATAAACGTTGAACTTGTTTAGATTCTGGGCCTGGCTCTATTCTAATAATGTGGATGAAACAATTCAGTGACATTGTGCAATGCAGTTCACATCTCTCCACAGTGTGGAAATGACAAAGTGCAGTAAAAACCTAACTTTCTCCCAAGTTTTCAATCGGTTTTGAATTGAACATTTTTTGTCAAAATCTCAAGATTAAAGGTTTTTTGCAGGTGTTGAAATTCATTATTTTTACTTCAGTGTTTTTCCTAGGGTAATGATTATAGTTGGTATAGGGTTCGTGAGAGAACTGACACTTGATGCTATCAAAACAGCTCTAAGATTTAAAGTTTTCTAAGTTTAAGACCTCTTTTGCACTTAACTAATTTTTCCAAATTTTCAATATGATTTTTTTTGCATATGTGTGGAAATTCACTATAACTTTCAATATTTGTACTACGGTGCTGCTATTTGGCATGGAGTTTCCCTGTGTTGACGATGTAATATATTTTGTCCTTTAGTGTAA